AGAACAGGATTGGAGCAAAATGGAATAGGTGGACAGAAGGATGGTGACCCCGCAGGACCTCGGTCAATGAGGGCGAGGAGGATGGAAGCGCAAGCAGGGAAAGGGCATAACTATGGGATGTGAACATGTGCTCTGGGAGTTGGAAAGGGGAAGGAAGCCCTCCGACTCCCTTTATTGCAATGAAGTTTCAAAATAAAAGAACTCTCTGAGGGAAGGGAAAGAGTATTACTGACAGCACCACATGCTGTGGCTGCTGCCTCGGTCTGCCTAAAGGTAGGGCCGGCCTTCGCAAGCCCAAGTGAAAACTGCAAAGTCTACAGATCTGCCCTCCACAGAGGGAAGACGCTTCTGCCCATTTCTTGATCCTTCCAACTGCACCAAAGCTCACCCCAGGCAGCTGCATCCCTTGAGCGTATTTTCTGGGGGTCCGGAGGTGGTGCCGTACAGAAGCAGCAGCAGGAAATCCCACTTCTGTCAGGCTGGTTGCATGCCCCTAAATCTGGTCCCAGCCCAAATACAGGAGATAAATATGTTTAGAGTGGTTTGCTGTATCAAGTAATTTTAAGAATGAGATGCAGATGTGAGTACCCAAGAGGTTTTCAGTCAGACTAAGGCCTTTGAACTCCTTGCCCTGAACTGTGCACAGAGGGAGAAAATTGTCTGCATCTTTCTCTCGCTATCTTGGGAAATAAAAAAGGATGGAGGATTACTTTAGAAGAAGAAAGATGAATGTTAATGGAAAAGGCCGTGAAATGTGTCCTGCCCCCCCCCCCCCACTCCCCACGCACACATTCACAATTCGGCTTGTGATCTGACCAAATGCAAATATTGAAATACAGTTTATTTTGGAGTTATTTATTTTAACATCCCAGTCTTTACCTAAATGATGTCCATGCCATCTACCAGCCAAAGAGGTGGAGCTGGTGGGTCTGGAGTCCCTGAATTGGATAGACCATTGGCCTAAATGTCTCAGGACCTTTCTCATGAAATTTCCAGCCTAAAAATAAAGCACTTCAAACTAAGGAAGAAAGCTAGACAATGCCCATGAAGGAGGAACGAAAAAATTAAGAAGACGGGAGTAGGATGTGTGTCATTTTGTCATTTTCTTCAGTGAAAAAAAATATCCTGTTATTTTTTTTTAAACATGGAAATTCATACCCCACTACTGCTCAGTCTCCCTCCCTGGAAAGTTGCTTGCCAAAAGGCAAACCAGGAGAGGAGGCTATTTCTGAGTCCAAAATTGACTTTGCGTAGTAGCTAGGCATTTTCTCAAAGACTGCGGCTTAAGGACACTGCTGGTAAAGTACCCTTCATCCCACAGTGATGTATACACAGGAGGGGTTTGATAGAGAGTAGTCTTGTGTCTTTCTTTGCAGAGGACAGTCTCCATGCAACTGCCGGACAGTCTGGCAGGGGAGACATCTTGAGCAGGAAGGAGGTTTTCTCAGGGTGAGGCTCATCCATCGCACCCTGGGTGTGCTGACCCCTGCGATTTCCCCAAATGTGGGAAACTCAACTGCAGAATTTGTGGCACGGCTACCTAAAGGACCATCTACACCCATGTATACCTACCTGCCCCCTTAGATCAGCTCAGGAGGCCCTTCTGTGAGAGCCACCCCTCAGGGAGATGAGAGGGGTGGCAACCGGGCAAAGGGCCTTTTCCGCTGCTGCTCCCCATCTCTGGAACTCCCTGCCCAGGGAAAGTCGCCTGTTGCCGTCTCTATTTTCCTTTTGGCACCAGGCGAAGACGTTATCTTTTTAGGAAATTTTTAAACGTTTAGCCTGTATGCTGTGGCTCTTTTAAATTGTTTTTACAGATGTCTAATTTATTATGTTTTAATTGGCTTTTAATGTGTTCTTACTGTGTATATGTTTTACATTGTAAGCCGCCTAGGAAGGCCTCGACAATTATAGGTGGCCTATAAACATGAATGAATGAATGAATGTTTGCTCAGTCCAAATGCAGTTTCTGATAAAGTTTCTCTCCTATGAAGGGAGAGTTACCCATTCACAAAGAGGACCAGTCTTCCCCATTGTGGTAGACGTACTGCATTTCTATTTACAACATATTTTCACATTTGTGTCTATACATATGAAGCAGCGTAAGCAAAGCTGCACCTTCGTTTGCGGTGGAAGCACCTTTTGGTTCCCCTTGAGTTGGGGTAGTGTTGCGGCTAAGAGTGAGAACTGGGAAAGCCCCAACTATGATTTAATTGGTTTTGGAGAATGAAGGGTTTTTTTTCCATCTATGGTATGGGGGCAATGCTGGCCTACTTGATAAACCAGATTTAAAGAATATTGAGAGAAAATATGTGCAATGTTTTTAAATATATATGACAAACTACAACAGCCTTTCCCTACTGGGTGCTCTTCAGGGGTTTTGGACAATAGCAATATACTTTTGGGAATGAACCCTATTTTTTGACCAACATTCCTGCTAGGAGTTTTGCATCCTAAATTTCTGCTTCTCCTGCAAAATGAACCCCTCAGAGATTATTTATTCACAGCTGTAACATTATTATGGAACATAGTAAATAAAAACCTTCGTTGGGGGATTTTGGAACATAGAGAACCACAGAACTGGAAGCAAGCCAACACTATGCTCCGAAACTTGCCAACCTCTGCCTGAAATATAATAGAGGCTTGCGGAGCTGTTGCCAGGAAGGGTCCTTGTGGGTCTCTGAATGGCAGAGTCAGGCCTGCAGGACCCTCCCCATGATGTGCTGCTGTCTACCCGCTTATTCAGATGTTATGGGCACAGGGAGACAGGAAGGCAGTGGATGTAGCCACATACTTTGGAACTGACTGGCTGAACATTTGCTTCAACAGCTGACCCTTATTTAATGTTTGTCGAGCTGCCAGTCCACAACCCTATAGAAACCCGCTGGTTGCTTTAGATCTGCATGGATTGAGTCTCCTCTTCTGCTTTCCCCATCACTCATTCTCCATTTACGGCAGGATCCAGCAAGAGGCACCTGCTCTTCAAGCAAGAAGGGGGATTGGAGAAACTGCAGCTTCATCCCATTTTGTCGCTGTAGTTGTTTTCCGAGCAAAATGGCTTTTCCCACGGTAATCATTTAAATAAATGAGCTGGGATTGAAGAATCAGCTTTTTCATTATGCTCTTTGGCCTGTCACAGCAAAAACAAGAAGTCTTGCAGTGCCTGAACGGCCATGCTGACCAGGAATGCTGGGAGCTGTGGTGCAACACATCTGGCTGGGGAAGGCTGGCATAAGCTTCGTGGATCAGATGCGTGAAGGGCTGCCCCAGATGTGTGTGTGTGGCTGGGCAGGCGGGAAATCACCCCCTCCTATGCCCCCAGGATATGGAATGGGCTTCCAAGGGAGGTGGTTGAGGCCCCATCGGTGGGGGGTTTCGAGGAAAGATCGGACCACCACATGTTGGGGCTTAGATGAGTGGAGCCAGCAGGAGCTGGGGGGGGGGGTCAAACTGGATGGCCCTGGAGGCCCCTTCTGACTCGCTTTGTTTCTGTGTCCAGTGTGCAAGACCATCATGTTTCCATGCACTGAAGTGGCAGGGTGTTTTCACAGAGGAGACCGTTTTGGTCCTGGTGCTACTGTTGCTCATGGAAGCTTGTCCGTGGCCACATCCTTGTGGGCTTGTGGGCTGAGGAACACATGGGCTTTTTGGGAAAACTGTGCAGGAACTGATTATCGAATGGTACTTTTCCGCTGCTCTGATGTGGTCATCTGAAGGTTGTTTCTGCATTATTCCAGTTGCATTTTGTGCCCATTTTGAGCTTCAATTCATGTTTAACTGGCTTCATATTCTGTTGTTTTTCTAGCTGTTTTGGACACTCTACAACAGAAGAGCTGTACGCATACTTTTAAAAGCAAATTGAAGTCTGCTGCCCTTCTGTGGCTTGTCAAGCACCTTCCCTCTAAGTCACCTCATCTCTCTGGGCCAGCTCCATTTTCGAGAGGCAATTTTGTCAGAGGGTTAAAGTAAAGGCAAGGCAGAGCATGGCTTAAAAAGAAACGAGCTTCATGAGCTTCATGTGATGGATAGGAAGGAATGACATATAGACCACGGCAATGGTGCTGTTGCCTTCCCATTATATTACTATGTGGTAATTATCTCAGACAAAGTACTGAAAGAGATTGCCAAAGATGGCGCTTTGGATCATAAATCACACAATCATAAAACAGTAGAGCTGGACGGGGCCAAGGAGGCCATCAGGTCCCACCCCCTGCTGCAGCAGGTGACCAGTTCACACCATCCCACTCAGCAAGGGGCCTTGTGGGGCAGTCTGCAGAACAGAAAGGAACACTTGGGAAGGTACCAGACTCCCCGGGACCCTCATTGTGCCTGACAGAGTCAGCCTCACCAGGACTCTGTACAGCATAATGCAAATGCATCTCCTGTGCTGGGTCTGCTTCTAGTTCTGCTATTTCGTCAGAAGACCAAGTTCTAAGCTTGCTGACTCGTAAGCAAAGGGAGTGGAAGCACTTCCTTGCGTTTCAGAAACTCTGGGTCAGAAGGATGGCTTGGTCTGAAATCACAGACTGCTCTCTTGACTGACCTTTGGCTATATGATTGAGAGACGTGCACCCCAATCTACAGCTCCAGATGACCTGCTGGAACATGTAGTGTGACCGTCCCTTGCATGCTTTCAATCAATGCAACAAATTTAAGTACATGCAGATACTTACATCATTAGCTATTTCGTTGCAGTTCACTTAAGAACAGCCCTGCTGGAACAGACCAGAGGTCTGCCTAGGCCTGCAGTCCAAGCACATGGCAGCAAACCAGCTGCCCACAGCATCCCTAAGCAGGATGGGTGCAGGACCTCCGCCGGCCCAGCTCCTCAGCAACTGGTCCATGCAGGCAGCCCACCTCTGGTGAAGGAGGGAGTCCATAGCCAGCAAGGCCAGCAGCCACGGATAGCCTCCCCTTCAAGAAACCATTCAGCTATTCCAGACGGTTCTCCAAATTTGCAACTTAGAAGTGCATCTTTAAAAGACTGACTTTCCAAGGTGTGCCGTCAACAGTCCTTTATTTGAAGTAAAGGGTTGCAGAGAACACTACAAAGAGTTTCCCTGCCTTTGACCAAGGTATCAAAAAAGAAAGACAAGCCCAAACATAGCATAAAACATCATTCCTATTTTCGGTCACCTTCCCATTTTTAATATGTTACACAGAAAATGCTGACGATCCCGTCTTCATATTGCCACTTCCCCTAAATCGTCTCTGTGCAAAATTCTATGAACTCTTTTGCTAGGTAAGTGCCTCTACATTTGCAATTTTAAATAAATATGAAGGGGATTTTATGTGCCAATTGTATGCAATAGCTTCCATGACGTTGCTGATAAAAAGGCAGAAGGAAAAATACAATTTTAATGTTTCCCAGGAGGCAAATAGAAAAGAAAGCAAAAGGTCCTGCAGAAAGCCATTCAGAAGAAGGTCAGCCCCTTTCTTTCCGTAATGAAGGTGTGCCGTGTTTGCTCTGTAACAGACTGCGCAGGCGAGGCACTGAAGTAGAAGCATGCGTTATCGGTTCCCATGCAATGTGGCGTGTGTTTCTGTGCACGTGCAGGGAGCTGCCACAAGTCCACATTCCATGTGAAAAGATGACGTCGCACCTGTTTTCCCCGTTCCTCTCCAACTGACACATTATTTTGCCAATTCCCTTTAAATCAGGAAGGACACCCCCCTCCCCACAACAGTGTAGGACCTCCATTTTCAGACATTCAGAGATATTACGCATCTCTCTGTGCAGTTCACTGGCAAAACCACCCCCCATCCCCGAAAGCACAGTATGTTTAGGAGGGATTTTAACCCCTATTACAGCCGTGCTTTTCTTCACTGTTTTGAAGATACGAAGAAAACGCGGGCAACAGGCACCTGTGCGATACAACATGCTCTCCGGAAACAGCTGGTGGGGTCCAGCTCTCGAATGCATCTCTTGAACAAGCCTTCCTGGGATGGCTGATCTTGGATAAAAGGTATTCCTGATGGTCCATCTTAATTTTTAAATAATACTTGGTAGCCTGAAAGACGATTTTAGTGCCTTAGCAAAACCACATGTCCTGGTGGAAATTTTTCTCTCATGCAAAGGACAAACTTATAAAAGTCAAGAATTTATGACATAACGTATCTTAAACAGCACTAATTCAAACAATATTTCCATTACATACAATATTAAAAGGGGGAATACGGTTGCAGTGATCAAATGAGAAATCCATAGCAAAACAAACAGAACCCCCACAAAAACAAAAAACAGGGAAGCACAACCAGGCCTAGAAGGAAATCAAATTATAATTGCTGAGTTCCCAAAACAGAGTATCTTTTCTGCATTCACCCATTTTAATGTATTTATTTTTTAAAAGCTTGTCATTGCTAACATCTGACTTCGTGCTTAGCACTCCCAATAGCCACTGCCAATGAAAAATATCCTGGCTTTACAAATATATAAATTAAAGTTAGCATATAATCTTGTCATAGTCCCCACAATTTTCTGACTTCTAGCATGTCCCTTAAAAACTGCCGTGGTGCTGTGCAAGAGTAACAAGCTTCCTTCGTAGCAGGAGTCAGGCTGAAGGGCGGCATCTGGGATGGGGTGGTCGCGTCTACACACTGGCTTTGGACTTGCTCAGCTTTTCAGCCGGAGTCCATTGTGAAGAGCTGGACATCTTGGGGACTCCAATAAAGCGCCACGGCCGAGTTATACACCAGGGACCAGACATAAGGAATAAAGAACTCTTCCGGTTGTTCTTCCTCCACGTACTTAAATTTCAGTTCTGGAAATTTCTGGAAACAAGAAAGGAAAGTGTAAGGAGAGTGTGCATGAAGGCCTGAGCAAGATGGAGAAGCAGAATAATTAATTTGGAGAAGCAACATTTGGTATAAAATGACTGGGCTGAAGAACCAGGAACCTCTGGCCTAAGAGGAGCAAGCAAGCTGCAGTTTGCTCCAGTCTGGGGAGGTCTGGATGTAATGGAGTACAACTCTTGCAAAACAGACCTGGAACCCAGCAGGTTGGGGATGGCGAAACCAGAAGCTTCCTTGCAGTGAATTCCTGGACTGGTTCTTACGTTGTGTGTTGGCTGCCAGCAGTTTATTCGATCACATTCCCATAAAAGTTTATGGGAGAAGGCAACCTGTTCCACCCAGCCCACATCTTTTGTCCCCAGCCTGTGTAAGCACTTCCTCTTTTCAACTCCCCAGCCCCCACAATGCTCACATTGATCGTTTAAGAAGAAATATGGCCAAAACGGCTCTCCCACCAGGCTTCTCACTGAGATCCACCAGATGCAGCTACTTCTTCCTGTGACCCTTCTTGGCATTTATTCTGCAAAGCCAAAGTGGCAGCTACTTGCTTTCTGGCATCCTTGGGAATAGGAATGCCTGTTATTTCATGCGGGTATCCCCATAAAGGGAAAACAAAAGAGTTAAGGTGCATCTTTCCCTTTCACATTTTTAAACACTGGGTCCTAAATTCTGCTTATGTCAAGAGCTTGGCAGGAGTTCAGATAAAAGCCAGATTTTGACAACCATTTCAAAGGAAGACAAAACCAGTCCCACTCTGTAATTTATAAGAATGTGGGTGAGGCTACGTACAAACTGCCATGCTGTGACAGAAGCCCAGCAATGCCAGAAAAGGCCACATACCCTTTTGCTCCTTAATAATGGGACAGGTCAGATCCTGGACTTCTGGCTCACATTCTGGTTCACAGGGTGGTCTGAAGAAACCCACAGTCTTTCGATTTGACAGATGACCCAACACTTGGGCACACTGAGGTCTATGCCTCATTCATTCATTCATTCATTCATTCATTCATTCATTCATTCATTCATTCCCACCTTTTTTTCCTTTCAAGGAACTAAAATGCCAGTTTGTTTTATGTAACTTTTGTGCCACAAGCAAACATATTTTGCACCATCACATTTTGAGTATCTTCTGTACATCATGTGATAAGTATGCCAATAAAACCCATTTTGGTTCAAAACAACAAAATGTGGGAAAGTCAAAAGGGGGACCAACAGCTCTGCAAGGCACTGGGTGTCTGGGTAAATTTGCATGGGATTGTGTTATAAAAGGCAGAACCCAATGACAATTACCTGGTTGTCTGTGACAGGTAAGAATAACTTTCAGGTAATGAGCCAGTGAAGGTCTAAAAAACCATACTGTGCACATTTATGTGCGTTTCTGTGAAAATGAATCGAAGGTATGATCCAGTACCGCTTAATCATTTCGACTGGTTTCAGAGGGAAATATTTAAGCTTTTGCCTACGTAAGCCTTTGCATATATAAATTAGAGAGACAAAAAGGGATGATCTTCGACTAGATCATGCCCCATGGTACGCATGACCAAGTGGACTAAGCAAACGTTGATTTGTAGGAAAGAGGGGACTTCAGCAGGCGAAAAGTGGATGTCTGCTTTGCTTTCGCAGCCCCAGGGTGCCAGTCTCTTTCGGCCTAGCTGGAACACTTCTGGAGCATTTAGCACTGCTGTGCTCCACCACACACAGTTGTGTGTGTACGACTGGGCTGGGATCCCTATCCCACCAATGCACATTGTGCTTCTGGCAGCTATATGGCCCCTTTTGCAGCTATGGGAGAGGAAATCCGAGACCCTCCGCTGTCCCCTCTAATTGCATCCTGTCATCTGCAGCTGATGGGGAGGAGGAGGAAGCCCCTCCCACGGTGTGAGGGCATCAGCACTTGTACGTTCAGAAAGCAGAGGCAGATTGGTCATGCTGGGGCCTCTCAACAGGTCTGCACAAACAGGAGGGTTGCAGAGTTTTGGCCAGAGAATCCACCCCCTGCTCAGAGCAGGAATTTGTCACTGTTCAGCCTTTACCTGAATACCTCCACTGACGTAACGCCCACACCTTCCTTGGCCGTTGGTTTCAGGGTCTGACTCCCCTGACCATTGGAAGTTTTTGTTAAAAAGAGACTCCTCACTTTTTAAACTGCTGCACATACAATAGATCGTGTGAGCAACGTTTGGTTATCAGAAAGGTAATGCTGTGTTTCTGAAATGAAACTACTTCTGTGCCAAAACTACTGCAGAAACCAACAAGACGGCACAGCGCAGGCCCGCTCCCCCCACCCCATCCGCTCATGCCTTTGCAGTGCTTACATTATTTACCTAGTCGGCCACAATGCCCTCCCCATCCCCCTCCAAGCAAAGCAGATGTCTGAGTTGGTGGCTTGGACAGGAGTATGCAGCTAGACAGGTCCAAAGTTTACCAGACTGTCTGAGCCATCAAGTCTGTGATCAAATGCAAAACCACAGGAAGTCCCCATGAACAGATGCAGTTCAGAAGCAGCCGTGGCTTCACCACCACTTCAGTGCATTCCCCACCTCCCAGAGAAACCTACAAGATCACACAGATAGCAATAGAAGATCGTTTCTGGGGTTGCTCCAGAGGGTTCAGTGCGACACAATCTAAAGACTACTGTAGTACATTAAAGATCTGATTACAGACTCCAGCCCTTTGACTTCTTTTGCAAGAACTTATTTATTTAAAACATTTCTATACCATCCTTCCTCAAATCAGCCTCCAAGCCAGCTAATATATAATGCAAAAGTATAATTCAAAGATCAAATATAAAAGAGATCAAAACAAAAAGCAGGCTAAAATTAAACAAATCAACAGCAGTTGATGGAGCCAGGAGAGGTAAAGCAATGGCAGAAAATAATCACCATGGCACCTCTATTTAAGCAGACCAAATCCAACTCGCTGCTGAAAAGGAGCACCCAGTAGCTACCTCTGAGGAGGCCGTTGCAACAGTGGGGGGCCTTAACAGAGTCCCTGGACGCCACCCATCTTGCTCCTAACTGTGGGCTGGCTCTGCTGGAACTGTGGGCTGGCTCTGCTGCAAGATGGTGGCCCTCTGGCAACTTGGGCTTCATTCAGAAACAACACAGAAGTGAGCAAAGACCTCCAAGTGCTGGAGCAACCTGCTCAGCTCAGAGGGTCTCAGCCGGCTGACGGCCACACTCTGACATTTCTGAATGCTCCTCTACCCAGTCAGGAACCGGATGGGCCTCAGCATACACAAGGGCTCTTTCTCACCAGTGCCCTTGAGGAGAGGTCTGGCCACTGGGCGTGAACCTGTTCCTTCCTCATTCGTATTGCATGACTCCTCCTGCAGCGTGTAAAGTGGCCATGACAGTGATCACGCGTCATTATCCCTTTTTCGGTCTGTACTTGCAGGATTTGCAGCATGTGTTTTAATCAAGGGCAGTGTGAACAGCTTAAATGTGTCTTTGCAAGCCCATGTGTCCTTCCAGTCAGGCTGAGGCTTCCCAGTGAGAAAACGCCATTACTAAATGGTGCCAAAAATCCGCGTTCCATAACCAGCTCTGATTTCCAGTCTCTGACATGTTCTGTATGGGCCCCATCCTCCTGCTGGCTGCCCTACTCTGCAGTAGGGAACACCTGACCATTCTACATGTCCTATCTCCAGAGAGACAAAGAATCCATGTTCAGAAAAGGAAAGTTAAACTATCCTGGAAAAATCAGTAATTCTTTGTGTACTGGAAATGCTTTCAATTTGTGCAAAACTCATGAAAGCAACAAGCCCAAACGTTTGCAAACAGCAATCCACTCATTCTGGGGTTGCTGTTCTGCTCAAGGAATCTGGAGTGATGTTTGCCACTGTCTTTTCTAGGACACTGGGCAGTTTGGATATTCTGTGCAACCAGCAACTCCTTTCAGGTTCCAGCAGCACTGTTTGCATTGCTTTCCTTTTGCTGCCGACAGAAAGTCGCCTCAATGCATATCAGCTGGAAGTGGGGACATGATTCGGTTGAAGTGTCCTCGTGGTATGCAGCCATGTCTGCCTGATAGTATCTTTATGCCTTTTTTGGACTTACCCAAGAGACATCAACTGTGGAAAAACTCACAGTCGAGAGAGACAAAGCAGACCAGTGGAAATTTACGAGGCAAAGCAAGGTCCATTCTCTTTCATCTGCAGGCAGGCATGCCCTGACCCCACATGCTTGTAACTGTGTCAATGCCAGGTAAGTTGAACGAGTCGCTCCCGTGACCACCCCTTTTTCTGTCACACACACTTGCTTCCTAGAGACTGCTTAGGACTAAAAAAACCGATCATTTGCCAGCCTGGGCAGGAGCTGCTCTGGGCTCGTATCTCAGCATGTGTCTCAGTGACAGGGCAGAGGCTTTGGATAGTCTGCCAGGTTCCATTTCCAGCTCCTCCAATGAAAAATGGACCTGGGAGAGCAGGGCTGAGAGCTGCTGCGGGTCAAAGCAGACATTACAGGGCAGGACAGATTAGTGGTCTGGCTTGGGAAAGGGCAATTTTATTGATTCATCCCTTCTTACAGTGCTTCTGTATGGAGAGGGTGGGGTTTTGGGTAGTGTGGGATATTCTGTGGTCTCCTGCAGTGAATCCCCTAAACTTTTAGAGAAGCCACTTAGAGGCAAGGCATCACGGCATGTGACAAGGCCCCTTTACTTGCGAATTTCCTCCCTTCCCATATGCAGAGAGGCTGTCCTTTTGCTCGTGCCCCAAGTCCATACCCCATGTCAGCAGGAGCAGACAGCATCCCTCTGTGAAGTCCATAAGGCTTATTTGAAGCAGAAAGGGGTCTCTTGCTATGCTCCAAACTGTTTTTCACCTGTACAGCCACATGGAAGGAATTGTGCAAGGAAGCTGAAGATGCATCCATGCCCAGGAACTGTATGAACTCTTGATTTTGTGCAAAAGTAGAAGCACAGGGAGAAACAGCCCCCCCCCCAAAAAAATTCAGCACTGTACTTTACATTTATTGGAT